TTCCAAGGATTATTTCTTCAATATGGAGTTATTTTTCTATCTTGATGTAGGCATTTTATTTAGTGCCAAAGTGAAATTAAGAATCAGAACTTTCCACATGTTTTATTATGAAAAAATATCAAATGTGCATGCCTAAAGATTAAAAAAAAAAGCTTTCTAAAGGGAAAAAAATTTTTGCTTGAGGTTTGGAGGTCTGGATTTAAGATCATTCCATATACTAGACTTTATACTGTGTGTATATTACTGAGTTCAAGAGCTATAAAACACTTTTCCCTTGACAAGTTCTGTTTTAAAGCATTTGAACAAAGGAGATTAATTTTTCATGCATTTATTTTTTCCAGTCTCTTATATGGTAGTGTTTTAAGATTTCCTTTGCTTCAATTGTGTTTTTTAACAGTGTGCCTTAAATAGATGCAATTCAGTTTTCCAATTCCACGAAGACATAAAAAATAGGTTGGCGTTTATATTTTTTGAACTAAATTTATGTTCTGATCACTCACCTAGAAATTTTACATATATATATATACAATATCAATATACAACTGCTAAACCAAAAGTATATCTGCAAAATGATCAAAAATGCTTTAAATACAGACAAAATTTATGTTACTTTAAAAAAGAAAACAAAAATTATAAAAAACTAAAAATTTGCATTCTTTCAAAAGACATCAAAATCCTTTCAGAAAATTAATGCCATTTAGAATATTTGGTAAAAGTTTACAATTGGGTGCCCCTTGTTTTTTGGCGATTCTTTTTTGATGCCAAGATCCGTGCCAGGAAGACACAATTTCAAGATGGCCGCTACACAAAACCAAAATAAGAAGTCAAAGAATTGCATAAACTATGTGTCCATGTACACATCGATCTTTTTCCACTTAAAAAAACATCCCAGAATTGCACTAAATCATCCTAGGCATTGTGCACTGCTTTAAATTTGACCATGTACACATCAATCTACTTTTATTTTTAAAAAAATCAGGAGGCTAAAGTAAAGTTAAATTATCATGGTAACCAGAAATGAGATTTCATTGCCAAAATTTTTCAAAAAATTGTCGCTAATCGAAGGGGCACCCAATTCTACACTAGAGCCGAATATTTCATTTGAAACCTGAAAGATATACAGATTAACAACATGAAAATTAAATCAGAGTTACTGCACAATCCGAGAAATCTCATATTTTTTACATTTTGAGGGAGTACTATACAAATTAATTACTCAAATATAAATATTAATATATCACACTTCATTTATTTCAAGGAACATATGAATAAACTTTATATCTGTCTGCACAAACTTTTTAAAATTCATTTTATTTCTTGTAACAAGTATTCAGAGCTTAACACTGGTTAAGAAGAATTAAATTTATATTTCATATCATATTATGATAAAAATCCCTAATTGTACACTCTACTACTACGAATTGGAAATATTAATTGAAGGGTATTTACAGTCAAAAGTCGTAAATTCGGACACCCATAATCTGGAATGATCTATAATCCGGACCTCAAAGCTACAAACTTTCTGCGCATGCGTCGCCTTCACGCATGCGCACAGGCATTTACGAGAGCGCGTAAGACCTTTACGGCTGCGAATATGTTTGTGCGCATGCGCATTTAATGTGTAACGAAGGTATAAGCTGAGCTAAAATTATCTAATTCAGTTAATGTTGCAGATTGCGTTGTTCCTGAATCTCCGAATTGGATCCGGCTTATTATTTTTTGCAGACTGTTAGAGCAATTTCATAAAAGTAAGCTTGAACTTTTCGATTATGTCAAATAGAATTTCCGATATATATTTACTAATATGTAATTTGTATCTACAAAGCGAAAGTATGTTTTGAAATCCGAAATCTGTTTATCAATTTCACGCCGCGGATTGGAAGTTGATCTGTCAGCACTATCCTTATCTTCAGGGCAGATGTTTTTATTTTATTTGGCTTATAATTCCTTACTAAGTGTAGTATTTAATCTCGATGTACTCCGTCTTTGATATGATTTAAATCAAGTTCCTCGTCGTTATAATTCGCTTCCGATAGTGAAGAAAGTGGTTGATCTTTACAATATGGTAACTGGTAGTTTGGCGACATTTTGGAGGCGATAAAGGTTACTACCTGGGACTTTGGTAATAATGTGAGCAGTACTCAGTTCCGATTACGCATTATTTTGTGTGAGGGAAATGAGAGATCATGGGATATGTCATGCGATATTAATGGACGAATTACGGTTCTTTAATCGGAAAAGGGGGGAAATCTGGAAAAAATCTGGAAATTTTGTATTTGGTTTATTCTGTGTTGTGTGAAACAGTGTTCGTGAATTTTTGGATCCCATGGCCGTAACTAAACAAAAGTTTATCGGACACGTAATCAAGATTCTGAAGAAAATTAGGTAAGTTAGTATTTTTAATTATTTGTGGATATTATTTTTATGCATTGTTCTAAATGTAAGGTGGAAGTAAAGGAATTTGGTATTATTGGGAAAATTGTTTATTAGCAATGATTTAGTTTAAAGTAATTAGGATTGTAAGGTAATTTTTATTAATTTAATGTATGTGCTCATTTATATTTTAAGTAGTGTTTTTGAATTTAATTATATTTAAATTAAATGATAGTTATTTTGTGAATTTTATGTTTGTAGGAATTTGGTATACGTTTAAGTGAAGTAAACGTGCATGGAAATAATTTAAATATTTGATACTAAGTATTTTGTAATGCTTGCGGTAATGAATTCGTTGGTGACGTGTATAATGTAATAGATGATTTAGAGGTAAAAGTTTTTGGATATTTTATTTATTTTATATGTGGAAATGTTCATATTTGGAAAGGGTAAATACTTTTTCGCGATCAGGTAATTTCATATATGTTCTTTTACCGGGTTTAAAGATTGAGAAAATTGTCATGTATTTTCGAGAAATTTTTCTAATTTATGAGAAAAAAGCAGTGTACATGGATATAGTGAAGAGTGTGCGCAATGCCATTTTTGTGCAATTCTGGGATGTTTTTTTTTTTAAGTAAAAATAAGTCGGCGTGTACATGGTTTATGTGTATGTGTTATTTTGAAAAACGCGTAAGGAGTATGGTATTGTGCAGTTTTTCCCAATTTTGCAGTGAATATTTGTCATGATTAAGCAGTTTTGTTAGATAAAATTTCTAGCATAATTGTAATTCGGCTAGTAGATTGTTGGAAGAAGTGTTCAGTAGATAAAAAGAAACATGTCTTTACTTCGTGAAGACAAAATGGCGGCGGGAAAAAAAAATAGAGGGTTGCTGTAGGAGAGTTAGTCGCCAAATTTTCGCCAAAAAAACGCCAAGTTACCATAATGTAAAGATCAACCAAGAAAGTGACCCAGAGGTTATTGAAAACGAAAACATTTCGATTGACAAGTAAGTCGGCATTCTCGGCACAGCAATTACGGGACTTAAACAGCGGAACTTTGTAACTGAACAAGAAATTAGGCCTGTTTATAGAATTAAAGAGAAAGTATTATCACAGAAAACGAAGCAACTTAAACAACTTACATTGAAATAAATGTTTAATAAAGTAAACAAATAAATATTAAGGTTTTTTTTTTTTTGTAAATTTTGATACCCTTTAGATCATAATTGTTCTTTATTTCATAAATTACGGTTTCATATTTTAAATTTTATAATTTCTGCATGCCATTTTACCAGATTTAAAGGGATGATCTATAATCCAGAAAAATCGATAATCCGGAATCGCCGAAGTCCCGACGAGTCCGGATTAACGACTTTTGACTATATTTATTTTTCAGTAAACTATATATTCCAAAACAAATTTAACAATTTTGCAAAATCTGTATATTTTAATATGTTTGATACAACTAAAAACATACATTAATTAGATATCCTTCCAAATCTTCCCTTCAGAATGTGTTACCACCAATTGCAAAGGAGCTAAAGCAAAAGAAACAACAGTAGCTGTCCATCCCAAGTTATATTTACTGCAATCAAACAGACTGGCTACATCAAATTTTCAGTTTCTCCCATGTAATCTTTCCACAAAACATACATCAATACCTCTTCAGTTTCATAATGTTATAATTAATTAATTCAGATCAATCTTTCAAAAATTTAAAATGCAGTTATTTTATTTTAAAATACTATGTTTATAACATTTGATTAATAATCGAAAAAGCAAAATTTTCTACCTCTGGAAAAATACAATTAAAGCTAAAATTTAGTAATTTTTCAAAATTATTTCATGTTCTCAAAAACCATTTACCTGCAATGATTCATTTAAATTCTTAGTTTAATTCCTCATTTAAAACTACTAAAACTGATAAAATTTGACTGAAATCATGTTCAAATGAAATGTCAGTTACATGAATTCACACCAGCAGAAAAAATTTCCCTATTAATTGCTAATAATTTTTTAAATTACACTTTCAAAAACTTAAAAATATACACTTCATTAACAAAGTCACTTTCAGAGAATCAGCTTTCATGATTTTGCTTAAAATCATGTGCAAAAATTAAAATATTCCTGCAAATGGAAGAATATTATTTCTCTGCCCTACACAGAAATCATGTTTAAAATACTGTCAGAGGAATATTTTTTAGATTAAATGTTCAAAAAAATTATTTTTTTAAATAATTTTAAATCTCATTATATTTGTTTTTAAATATAAAATTATGTCTAGTGACTTTAAGAATTACATTACATTCAATTAACCTAACAAATAATTAAGAAAGCGTTTATTCATTCAACGTAAATTACTGAAAATTAAAAATAATCAAACAATAATAAAGAATATGACTGTATTCTGCAATTTAAAATAAGATATAGTAAATGTATATCTGCCAAGCCTTTCAACTTCATAATTCTCCTATAAAACTTAAATAAAAAAACGTTATGAAAGAAGAGCGTAGAATAGATATCATTAAAGCAATCATATTTACGCAGTTTTAAGAATTCGGATTTAATTCTATAATACGATATTCAAAAGCCGCATTTTTACATAATAATTTAAAGAGCCAACTTACACAGGAATACGTCCTTCGTAATCAGTTGTCAAAATGAACTTCTCATCACAACCTCCACAGCTGCTCTAATCGTATAGTCATAAAATACTACATACAAATGAAAAAGTACAAAGAAGGGAAACAAAAGTATCTCCTATGTTAAAGAGCCGCTCAAACAAACCACGACTCGCAGTTTAGATGAAAGTTGACGGCACAGGTGTAAGTACTGAGTTGAGTTGGTCTGCATATTTTCAGCAATGAAAAGGCTTTTAAAAAAACAAATGTGACCTCTGGTGGGCAAAATATAAATTCTGATTTAAATTGCGCCCTGACTAATAAATTTTCATAAGAAAAATCAACTTTATTTATTCCTTAGAGAGATAAATAGATTTAATTTTTTTAAATAAGCAAGTTTAACTGCATTTAGGAAGAAACAAAAGTTTGAGGCAAAGCTAGAAAAATTCTTGAGTAAATTGTTTTTTCTCTTTTAAATGATATTCAAAATACAATCTTCTAAATAGCGCTTATTTACAGTAGAATGGCTTCCCTATCTAAAGCTATTATTGACTTTCTTTTGTTAGAGTACTGTTAAAAATTGATCATTTGGGCCCTTTTAGGATTGGATTTGAATCTTTATAAAACTTGTAAGTAACTGTTTTTTACTTTAAGCTCAGCGCTCAGAAATTTTGTTCTTCATAACATCATTTCATCCCATTCAGAGTTCATTTATTCTAAAATTCTGTTTAGTACCACGATCATATACAGTTTCCTTTCCTAAAACGCATCGAGAGACAAGATATTAAATTTACATGCTGTTCTCCAACTATTAAGGTTTATGCTTTAAATGCGGCATTGTCAAGCATTTGCGTTTTAGTTAATGCATATGTATTTGAATCATATTTCCAAAATAAATAGTTTATGTTTCTGTAGAAATTAAGTAGAATGAAAAATTTAGGATTTAAAAAAGTATGTTTACCAAACTTTAAGGATATATCAGTTCCTTCGATAATAAAACTTTCGGTAAACGTAGTGTAAAAAATGTAGTGCGAAGATATTAATTCACATACTCTAGTTCAGTTACGTCAAGTTTCTCATTAATTTTAGTTAAAGCAGAATGGTAACACTTTTTCTTGTCTCCACGAAAAACAAAGGTCGGTATTCTATCATGCGATTTAATGCGCATGTAAAATGTATAAAATTTTATATCAAGAATAAATACCCCGAGAATAACCAGGCTTCAACTTTGGTCTCAAAGAAAGTTTCTATTTAGATGGTTCGAAGGCCGTTTACACTAGCGGAACTTTGGTCCCAAGAAACGTACGCTAACGTTAAGTTGTTACTCCCAAGGATCCCACCCGTTTACACTTGTAAGTCTCAAAGCCTAAGAATTACTACCCCCAACCAATCAAGTCGCTTTGATTTGCGCATGGGCAATATTTCCTATTTTGGGCTATAATGTCGAAAGTTTGCGGTAGAATGTCTAAAGTTAAAAAAAGCTGAAGAAAGAAAGCGCGTTATGCATTTGAGAAGTAATTTAATATGTATGTATTTGCTGTACAAAAGCGTTTGCGTTCCAAGGCGGGAATGGGTTCGGTCAATTTTTCAAGAGCGAGATACGTATTCCGCTCATGCAGCATTGTTTCCGTCACTGAGGCAGAAGTACCCAGAATTATTTTTCAATTATACTCGAATGACGGTAAGTTATTTTTATTTTTTAGCAAAACCTGAAAGTAAAAATTGAAGGAAAGACTGTCAAATATTTCTTTTTATATATCAGTAAATTAGTAATTTTTTCCCTTAGTAATTTATACTAAGGAAATAGGATTAATGATTACATTGCGATTTAATTACCGACAAAATGAATAATTTCAATGTTTATTTTGGTTAATCTTTGGATTATGGTAACTCGGCGATTTTTTGGCGACCAACCCTGCTACAGCAACCTGCTAGTTTTTTTTTTTTTTTTGACGCCATTTTGTTTTCACGAAGTAAAGGCTTTTTTTTTTTTTTTTTTTTTTTTTTTTTTTTTTTTTACTCAACATTTTTTTCCAACAATCTGCTAGCCGAATTACGCTTATGCTAGAATTTTTATGGAACAAAAGTGCTTAATCATGACGAAGATTAGGTGCGAAATTGGGAGAAAGTGCAGAATCGCCCACTGCTTGCCGCGTTTTTAAGAATTGCACATACACGGTATCATCCATGTACACGTCGACCTATTTTCACTTAAAAAAAAATCCCAGAATTGCACAAAAATGGCATTGCGCACACTCTTGACTTTATCCATGTACACTGCTAAAGTCCTAGCTAGTAACCTTTATCGCCTTACCAAAATGTCGCCAAACTACCTGTTACCATATTCCAAAGATTAGCCTTTATTTTTTATATAATTATGGACTAGCATTAGTTATAACTAATTAGTTTAATTGGTTTATTAAGCGCATTATTAATGAAGGTTGTTTATAATTCGATTACCTTAATGAAACATAATATCAGATGGAGTATAATGTAAAATTACTAGATGTGCCAGATGTTGGACAGTCAACATTTTAATGCACTATCGTGTATTAGGATATGTTCCTCTGTTAGAAAATACCCAGCATTCTGTATCCGTAGATTTTTTAATTATTACTGTCATGAATTTTATTAGTATTGCTTCACTTTGTCATGAAAATACTTTTGTAGAACCAGAAATATAAAATAATTAGGCTTTTAAATAATATATTCTAGAGAATTTGGGAGATCCATAAAAAGACTTGCTTTTAAAAGATTTTCTGCATTCCTGTTCCACCTGTGTTTTATATTTGACAAATGAGCAATAAAATTAAATCATGTCAATATTTTAAAAAAATCATTTTTGGAGAATATTGTAGTAATATGATGAAAAAACACTTAACCTCCAAAAGAATGTAAGAATAATTGTATCAAAATAGATTATTTAATGAAATTCTACTACCTGAAAAATTAAGCAATTATTAGAGTATAAGAGTGAAATTGAAATGGAGAGTAATTTTCCTTTTAATCAGAATTATCATATTTTATTTTTTCAAATTTGTAAGATAAATAACTGAATATTTTTCACTGATCATAGTTGCAGCAACACAGTATATATTTCGGCAATATAGTATATAGTGATGCCCCTCATGTTGAGCACCTTCAATAGTCAAAAGTATTCCTGAGAATATAAACAAACATTGGTAATGACAATCACAGATAACCATATTCTCTGAAGGTTGCTATAATATATCCCGTCGGTGGCTAAATAAATAAAAACACTGAACATTAATTGTTCAATACCTGATGAAAGGGTTTAGAACATAGGCATTTTGTGCATATCTGTCCAAGATATGAATGTAAATTAGTTTACCTTAAAAAATCTTCCTGATGACATTATTTAGGTTAGTAGGGTTACCTTTAAGGCAGGTAACCCTAGTGTGTGGTGCATAATCAAATAATCATGTTGAAGGTATCACCTTCACAGAAGGCTGAAAATCATTTCTAATTATGGAGTTTATGTTATTTTTGTTAATAACATGCGATTAATCGCTAAAAGTGTTAATTGTTAGAAATAGTAAGATTATACTTCAAGCAATTTTTCAAGACAACAAAAATTATTTTTCTCTTACTTTGGCTAATCATTTTAGCACAATATAAACTATTTTGTATTTGTTTTTATATTAATTAGATAATTAAATATAGTTCTGATGTTCAATTTACTCATAAGTATAATATTATTGAATTTACATGTAGGGAGAACAATATGATCATCTTCTACATTTACTGCAAGATAAACTACAGAAGCAAGAAACACGTTTTAGGAAATCAATTTCAGCGTCTGAGAGACTTGCCATCTGTTTAAGGTAAATATAAATATATACATTTGTTTTGAAAGCAGTGTCGACGCTAGACAATTTACCGCCTGGTGCAAACTCCACAAATCCGAAATTCTGCCACCTGATTCCTTCCTAAATTCTAATAATTTTGCCATCTGGTGTGGTCACCCTGGTTGCATATGCTCTGGCACCAGCTCTATTTGAAAGTCTTTATTACATCTAATTCCAGTTTTGTGTAGTATATATAATTGAAAATTAATGTTCTTGTCAGAACATTTTATACTTCTGTCTAATTGAACTTTTTAAAATTCATATTTTTTTTTAAAATTTGTAATGCATTTAAAAAATTATGAATAGGAACATAATTTTATCAAAATAAGTTACATAAATAAAGCATTTATTTTCTGTGGTTTAATAATAAGAAAGAAAATTGCAATCTCTTTGAAACTGACCCCCCCCCCCAAAAAAAGAACCTTTTTTAAAACTTGCATACTGCTACAGATTGCCCTTTGTTCATTTTTATACAACATGTTTTTAAAACTGCAAAAATTTAATTATTGATTCAGAATGTTTTTGTAGATTTCTAGCATCTGGAACTAATTATACAGACCTGGCATACACTTTCCGTGTTTCTAAATCTTCAGTTTCACATATTATTCGAGAGACCTGTGATGTCATATGGCAAGTCTTACAGCCACTGGTTATGGCTATACCAGCATCATCAGATGAATGGGCTGTAATAGCAGAAGGTTTTGAATATAAATGGAATTTTCCCAACTGTGTTGGTGCAATCGATGGTATGTATTATGTCTTGCATTCCATATTTATTTGTCAGTGAGTACTTTTGAAATACAAAAATTGCATTATATTAAAATTAGGCAAATGAAGATTCTTTTCAAAGATAAATATAAAATATTGCAGAATCATCTAACTTGATATATGAGCTGTCTTAAAATATCAAAAGACTGGAATTGTTTCATAATAAATAAATGAAAGTGTGAAATGAAAAACAAATTTTAATATAAAAAGGAATTTTTTTGCAAGTTTCTAATTTAAGAACTTTTTTAAGAACTGAATTTATTATTGGAAAAAGTATTTATATTAATTTTTATCATTAAAGTGTATATTTATTTTTCTTTAGGCAATTAATAATTGTTGCTTTTTTTTTCTTGTAGGTAAGCATATCAGAATACAAGCTCCACCGTCAGCTGGAATCAACATATTATAATTATAAGGGCTATAACAGCATAGTCCTAATGGCAGTGGCAGATGCTAGTTACACTTTCCTTTATGTTGATTCAGGCAACTATGGACGCATCAGTGATGGTGGAATTTTCAGTAACTGTTCACTAGGTAAAGCTTTGGTTAGTGAAACTTTGTTTTCATTGCCAAATCCAACACCATTATTAAATAGTGATCGAGTTTTGCCTTTTGTATTTGTTGGAGATGAGGCTTTTCCACTCAGGAAAAATATTTTACGCCCTTATCCTGGCAAATTTCTGTCGAATGAAAGAAAAATTTTTAATTACAGACTTTCTCGAGCAAGGAGGTGCGTTGAAAATGCTTTCGGCATATTGGCGTCTAGGTGGAGAGTACTTCGTACTGAAATTGCCCTGAACCCAGAGCATGCTAATAAAGTAGTTTTGGCATGCTGTTGCCTTCATAATTACTTAATGAAAAATGAGTTGGGAAAGGCAGCTAAGAAATACTGTCCAGTGAACTTTGCTGATTCTCTTCTTTCAAATGCCACCATTAAAGAAGGTATGTGGAGAACAGAAGAATTTACATGGCAACCTCTTGGCCGTCTAGGGGCCAATAATTCATCCCGTGCTGCATCTGCAGTTCGAGATAATTTTTGTGAATATTTTTCTGCAGAAGGAGCAGTACCATGGCAAGAAAGGAAAGCATTTCTTGTGTAAATTTATTTTTTGAAAATATTTATGAAATATGTAAATAAAACAATAAAACAACTGATTAGTGTTATGTACAAATAATTTCATTTATTTCTTGCCATAATTTGTAAAAATTGTATTTTCGTTTCCAATTTTTTTTCATCAGTCATTTTTTTCAAATCACTATGGAGACTCAATAAAAATAGTTTATCATCATCGTCATCATCATTTTCACATCGATGGTGATTAAAATTTTTTATTTGTTTCATCAATAACAGAAAGCAATGAACTTTCAATTGTTTCTTTCTTTTTTCTTTTCTTCCCTCTAGGATTATTTTCATCATTATTATTTGAATTAGTGTTATCTAAGATTTGTCTGGAGCTTGATGCAGGTGATAAAGGTGATTCACATGAGGACATAACGCGAATAACAGATGGCTCCACATATTCAGGTTCTGTCGGATATTCAATATTATCTGAAGACTCGGAGACAACAGATTCTACTGTGAAATTAAGCTCCTCGAATTCTTTGTTTCCTTGAAAGTTTGTCTGTGTCCTGTTTAGAAAGAAAACAAGGAAAAAAAATCAAATGCATATGAAAAATATTTTTAATACATTAATGATTATTTTGTGATACAAAGTAATTAGGTAGTGAAATAAGCAAATTTAGAATCTTATTTGTTACTGCATTAAATAGCTTATTTTTTAATTTTTATTACTTATGAACTGCAGACAATTTAAATAGATCTTAAAATTTAGCATGAAAAATAATGTAAACCAAGAGTCTTCTTGCTTCAGTGTGATTACCTGAAACTAAAAAGCTTTTTTTTTTTTTTTTGTTAATTTGAATTATAACATCCCATTGGATTCTTTTCTTACATAATCTTTTGTGTTTATTAATATTTGCAAGAATAATTTCTAAAAAAATACAGTTTGTTACATCCAGTTGTATGGGGTAATTCCTAGTCATTACGTTCTTGGAGCAGTGCTGGATCACATTTTGTTTTTAATTAAAATAATATTTTATCAAATATGGGGAGGGGTGAAATCATCATCACTCTTTGAATCTTTTGTACTGCAATATACAACCGAAATTGTCATATTTACTCACTAATAATTTTATCGTACAAATATGGAGAAGGCAAAATGACATGAATAATTTATTTTCCGAAGTATGGTGCAAAATAAATAAGGTGTATTAGATACATTTAATTAAATTACATACATTACTGCAATAATTTATTATATGCATTAAATCTGTCATTGTATTAACAAGGGCTGAAATTTAAAATATTCTTAATTTATCCACAAAATATCCGGATAAAAAAAAAGGCAGCACTAAACAATCTCGTGAAATAACAAAGCTCAGAAAATACAACAACGTGAATCATGAACTTGAACAAAGAGTGAATCGTCTATTGAACTTGAACAAAGAGTGAATCGTCTGCTTTTTTACCTCGATGCAGATTAGAAGGAAAAAAACTTATCTTTTTTCTTAAACTTTTTATGTCAATAATTTGGTATTTCCATTATGACTCATTATTATTCAGTTATTATGACGTCATTATTCGGTAAGTATTTTTTCTTCGATATTTCGTACTCAATGTTGCGGTTTCCGAAACCAAGAAACTGAGAATATAAACTGAATGCTTATATTGAACTGAAACTGAATGCTTATATTCTGAGAGGCAACGCAGATTTCAGGAGTTGGCGGATTTTCGGTATTTGACTGTATTTGTAGACATTAAGACGAAAAAATGGAACAGATTATTGGACGTGGAATCGCATCTCAGATTAAAATTAACAACCAGGGAACAAAATTATGACAATCTGTCATCTCAGCACAAACAGTTTCATCCTTCTCATTAATCCAAATAAATGTTATTTATAATGTAACATTTATTTATATTAATGCCATAGAAAATCAAATTTATAGTAGTGAAGATCAGCGGGATTATGAGTTAAATAACATGGATGTAAATATTACTATTGGAGGCTGCAATTTAACAGTTGTGATGACAGTAGTGTTTTTGACAGTAACAATAATGTAGTATGCCCTAAATAGAGATGACTTTAAATGACTTATAAAGAGTATAGTAATTATAAAGTATATAGTATATATAGTAATTATAAAGAAATCAATATTTTAGATGAAAAAGAAGAATCTCTTGCCTTCATTGAAGAAATTTTGAATATGCATACAAAGCCCTTACGTAATAAATGAAAATATTGAGCCACTAATAACTCTTATTTCTTTTTATAGAAACACAATCACAAGAGAATTTTATCAAATTTTTTGTATCTTACAGTTTAAGACAAATTTTATCTAATCTTGGCTTACACATTTCACATTCACATTCTATAAATAAAAAAAGATCACTATACTTTGGGGACTGTTTTGAAAAATTTCATGCCATGAAAGATTTTAACAGTTAATTCAGTAATAAAGTATTACAACTTCATTTTTTAATTCAGTTTCATATATATTTTTGTATTTATTTTCATTATGAATTAATGTAATAATTTAAGCACAACTCCTTGATCTGATGGTATATATTATGATAATTAATCCCAGGCTTTATGTGTTAAGTGCAAAGTAACTTCATAAAATTAAAGCAGGTATGCATAATCTCAAACACTAACTTCTGAACATCAAAATGGTCAGTAACACATCAGTTTTGAGCTGTGTGAGTACAGAAATATGGGCATCAACTATAGAGGGATAAACTATAAAAAGAAATTGGCCACAAAAAGAAAAAAATATATATACAGACGAGTCTTCATCAAAATATTTAGAAACTCAGCTTTCAAAGGAAAGAGCAAGTGCTTTGTTTATATTATGCATATACTGTACTTTGTTAATAAGTTTACATTGCAAAAATATTGCCCTATTTTTAATTGGGAAGATTAAAAAAGTACAGAACAGCAAAGTTTCTACAACATTTTTTAAGGGTAAGAACTTCAGTTGGCCCAAACACGTTAGAAAAAAAACTATAATGTGTAATACAGTTTTATTACAACACATTTACAAGGTGTTAAACCATTCATAACGAGTGATGAGGCAATAAATGTTAAAAAAAAAAATTGTGTAGGAGAAGTTTTTGTTTTCCAGAGCGTAAATATTTGGATAGAATTTGAGTTATGGCAAAGCATATAAGGTCTATCTGCCTAAGGGGAGGAATTTCTTAAGTAAATTGGTTTATATCCACATATGTGACTATCTAACATATTTAATAAATTTATATCAATAAAGTTACAATTTTTGATTGCTAGTCAACCTAGGATAACTCCAAATAATCCATTTATGCTTTATAATATTACAGACTACTAACAAGTAAGATTGTATTTTGTTAATATGAAAATTTATCATTTTATATTTAACATAACTAAATAATTTGGTTCTGAATATTTACCTTCGATGGCGGATACATGGATCCAAAAATGACATTTGGGGCATCAGATGCCATTGCTGCTCTGCAGACTCTGCACTAGCTCCACTTTTGCATTTTGTTTTTCTTCGGCTATATTGCTTACGCAGATTCTGCCACCGGTAAGTAACCTCTTCAACTGTGAAATTAAAAAAAATATAGCCGAAATTTTAATTCAACCACTGTAATTAATTACTGTTTAATTATTAATACTTTTATGCAAACAATTATACTAATTATATGAGATTCAAAATGTATCCATACGAAAATGAAATATGGATCTTATATATTTTTATATATGGATATTTATATATTTAGGGATTTTTTATGTATTTCGGAATAAACATTTGCATGAGAAATGAAGAAAATGTATTTCTGAAAATTGAGGAGGAAAACTTTAATCAAATTTTTACTACTGTTGATCTTCACACTTACTACTTTTACTTTCTTCTTCTCATAAGCCTTTAGTAACATGTTGCAAAAAAGAAGAGCAAACTAATGTAAAGACAATAGCTAAAATTATGTAATCATCTTGAATTGCTATAATTTGGGAAAAATTTTAAATATATATAATTGAAGGTTGCTGCATATAATTTTCATAGAACAGTGTACATTTAGATACAGTTTAAAGCAGCAGTTAATAAACTTTAATTTAAAAAAAATCCATCTACTGAGCTTATTTAAATTTTATAAAACTCAGATTTTCAGAAATGTTCTAAAATGCTATAATTTAATATATGTCAACAAATTTTTATCGTGTAATCGTTATTAAACCTATTTTGTACTTGAACAATTGCGTTAGTCGAAAGAGAACTAGAATAAAAGAGAGCACATTGCAATCCGAAAGGAGCAAAAAAATAAATAAATGGATACATACCATCTCGGTTCAGTCTTTCGGCAACCAGTAGCCAAGCAACGTCTTGTCCTCTTTTCATTCGATATTCTTTTTTTCTATTATCCCATAAAATCGGATGTTGTTGTACTTCTGCAATTAATTTGCAGTCAGACGTAGTCAAATCTTCCGCCATGTTTTTCGCTTAAAGCATCAACAAAACCCTCGTGATAGTTTGTAAGTCTGTGATTGGCCAAAGCTTTCATCTCATAGGTTCGGAGTTAAAATTTTCCATCTCTTGGGTTTACGTCAATTCCCTTTGAAGATTAACCGCTCGACTTAGGTTACGTTTCTTAGGACGTAGCGTACGCTTCTTGGGACCAAAGTTCCGCTAGTGTAAACGGGCCTTAACAGCCTCTGAAATGGGACGAGTTGTCCTTTGACAATCGGCGCATGTCTTGGTTAATCACAGAAACTAGAGTTTATTTGTATAAAGCCTTGCCGTATTTACTATATGAATTTTTCACTAATTGACTGCATTATTTTCACAGGGCTATGAGTTTCATTTTCAAGACCAGACCTTCATAACTGACGTCAAGCTAAATGTGTTTGGATATTTTTTTATTAAAATCTAACCCAGTTCTACAGCTATAGGTACAATTGGGAGAGGCACTAAAATTTCGTCATCAATATAGGTGTAGTTTCTTATCAATATCTGGGCAACTCTGCAGTTTTGATATATAACATCTCTAGGAATGGTCTGGTGGTCTTCCACTCCACTTCTCCCACCACAAACCGCTCAAGAGAACTTTTAGCTCGCACAGACGCTATACGCCTGCAAACTGCCTTCTCCGGGATTAGAACCCGGGTACATCGAACCTAATTTTTAAAGATTTGACCCCAAATTTGCCGAAATATTGGGAAAAGATCATCGATGCAAACAGGGAAGATTGGCTTTAGTTCAAAAATATTCATGACAGAGCAAAATATATCAATATAGTTACATTTGTTTCCATTTAATGCATCGCATTGCAAGTAATGTATATAGTCTAGTATTCGAAGCTTCTTCGAGGGCGACAACGTTACACAAAATCCTCATTCCTTCCACAGTTTCTTTGATTTGCAAAATCATCGGCCAGATTACTTACCCACAACGTAATTTCCTTCGCACCAGTGTCATTTACTTCAATACCAGATCCCTGTATGCATTTGATCTTGATATTTTTGCCGACTGTAGTTATATGCAGCTTAACTAGCTTGTTTATATAAATAGAATTCGGATTGACTTCTTAGCCAAAACTTATGTCTAACTTTACAGTATTTGTTGGTTCAACAGAAAAAATTGCATTAATATTTTTAATGCCCAAGAAGACAAAATTGGTTATTTACAAATGAGAACGAAATAAGGAAGAGCTGTTCCTCCCATTCCCTCTTGTTATGGTTTATGCTCGATATTCCCATTCTTTTTATTTCACGTTTTCTTTCTGTTACTATGCTTTTCACGAACTATTTTAGTAAATCATAATTTTAAAAAATCTCGATTTTTTAGCCATCTTTATTCTGTTTAATTATAGGTTAGTGATAATAGTTCCGGATTTGTGTGTGCTATGTGATACCAAGCATTTCTTCTGTGTTTCATATAACTTAAATCCTAATTTACTTTTTTTTTTTTTATCAAAAGCACTATTATTAGAAATAAAATTAGACCTTTGACTTTAGAAAAAATTATCAGTAATCGCAGAAAATAGCAAAATGTTATAGTTAATGCGAATAAAAATTTAATTCTTCAGAAAATTTAAATTTGGCGTTAATTAGAACGAAAAGAAATTTGGCTAAATCCGATGTGATTGTTACTATCCGAAATAGGTTTAAAAGCAATGTAATAAGTTATAGCTAGTCCTGCTCACACTTTTTATAGCACTCGAAGCCGTATGCATATAGTATCTAGCCATTTCCTTCCTTGTTATGTGGCACCATATAGTATGCAGTGAGGACGAACCTATGGCACGCGTGCCATAGTCTGCACGCAGAGCCTCATCAGCCGGCACTCGACTAAAATATTACTTCCTTAATAATCACAATAAAATGATACTATGTAATTTAAATGTTTTGGTCTGTTCTAGAACGTTTCACTTATCGCATAATGCCACTGGCATAGGGCCCAAGCCTAGATATAAGATTTTCATATATCGCCATAGAAATTATATACATATTTATTGACCCAGTTTATGACGTTTCAATTGTTTGGTACAATCATATTACTTGTTATATGGCTAAGAATACACCAAAGTTGAAGCAGCTAATGTTCGTTAAACGAATTCAAATTTATTGCAGACTGTCGGTGAGTTTTAATACTTTCCCTGTAAATAGTTTCCAGTTTTCATATCTAAGCATTGAGGTAACTTATGAATAATTCTAATTTAATATCTTAAACGGAATGTACAAATATAATGTAAAAAAATGCAATTTTATGATATAGCAAAACACGAAAGCTTAGCAGGGAAACCAAGCTTATTCACATGCTCTTAGTCATAATAAGTCCAATAAAGCCGAAAAGGAGCATATGAAATCCAAAGTTAGAAGTTTAGCAAAGAGATGTCCGGGTTAACGTTTACTGCTGTCCCCTGTTCATATCTGAATCTGCAGCCATAGAATGTAGAGAAATATGATGTCATACGGCGATAGCAGCTCTCTCACCTAAAGTAAAAGTTAGATGTTAGATGCTAGACCGGAATGGTGCATTAAGCCATATCCATTGATTTGTAGAATTTTCCGTATGTTGATTCATTAAATAATTAACTATACATATTGTAAATAAATATTTAACTTAACCTTGTCAAAAATAGGTCAAGCATAGATACAGATATGATGTTCTTCATATAGAAACATAGATTTTAGATACGGTAGAAGTTTCGACTTAGAATAAAATCTCTTTCGCGACATAGATTGTGGCTAATAATGTTACCTCTTTTTAATATATGATCGATTTATATTTAATGCTTCATTTTAAAATTTTTTTGCTTTTCTATACTCCAGCTCTTGAATCTTCACAAATGAATAGCACAAAAGGCAAAATTAAACATTGATAGTATAAAATTATTTCAAGAGAACTGGACAGAAACATTTGGAGTTATTGAACACAATAGGAAAGCATTATGAATTCTATGGGGGGGAAGTGTTGTGTGTCGCACATCTAGTGTCAGACGGCACTTTAACACCAACCACAAGATTGTTGCCGAACTTGATGAAGCTGAACGGAAGGAGTTTATTGAAGGGAAATTGAGGAATTATAATTACCAGAAAGTTGGTTTTTGCAATTATCTTTACACAAACCACTTAAACTTATTAAAAACCACATAATAATGGACAGTTTTCAAATTTCACTGTGCCTGGCAAAACATGGTAAACCGCTCTCCGATGGGGATTTAATCAAAGAAATTTTGGGCACGCGGCCCCAAAAAGTTTCGCCACCACTGGTATAGGGTGACTGTATTTTCAATATTGGGTGAAGTATAAAGTCAGTTATCTAGCTGTCTTTTTTAAATTGTAATTTGCAAACCAGTTTGAGTGTGGAGCTTTATTTTGTATTCGCATTCTTTTAAAGTTGCGAATTGTAAAGTGTTGCTTATTAGAAATTACTTATCGCAAATAGTTTGAATTGGCGTCTTTGAAACGCAAGTTTCGGGAGACCACTCTTTTAAAGGAGCTTGAAAATTCACAATGATGATTGACTTTAAGGACTTATGTAACTGTCTGATATTTTTCAAAATTAAATAAATTTAGCCTAGGATAACAGTTTCAAAACTGCTTTCAAAATGTGTGACAAAACTGATTCTACACTCAATGTGCTCAAAAAGTTAGATTTCTGGGAATCATTCATTGAAAATAATGAGAGCGAAATATTCGAGACTACTTTACAAGTTCTCGTAAGAAAAATTAGCTTCAGTTTGCAAGTCAAAGAGAGCATAAGAACCCATTTAACAGCCTTCACCAAGGATCTTTCAAACATTAGTCATCCAAATCATGTCAGAAGGAAATTTAGATTTCAAATCCTATCAATGAAAATTCGTTTAAAAGAGCCTCAGAAACAGCATTTTTTTTAAAAAAAAAGAACCACTTATGCTTTTCTGACTTTAGTCATTGCACTTTATTAATTTTATGGTATTGAAATAAAAGCATTAGAAGATATATTGCGTAATACGGAATACAGGGGATTATAGGTTCTTAAGAAAAAGGTTAGAGGTACTTTATAATTACGGTCTCATTAAAGGGTACCCGAATTAATTAAGTCTCATTAAGGGGTACATAAAAGAAAATTTTGGGAACTGCTATTCTAAGAGGATGAATTGATGGCATTTGCTGTTTCTTCCTCAAGGAACGCAAATTGGAAATTTCTAGCTTTCAAATCTTTAGAATATACTTCATAATTAAGGTTTTGGTTTGGTTTATTTAGTTATGGTAAAGTACTCGAGACTACATACCTATATGAAGGGATGCCTTCGTGAAGGTGAAAGAGTTTCTAAGGAAAACTTGCTCTTCAGAGCCAGTGCCCACACGTTACACATGGGGAAAGCTACGAAAATCTTATATATCCAGCCGGTTCATCGAGATATTATCCCAGACAAGGATACCAGTGTTCAGCGTCTTTAACGCTTGGCCGCTGGCGGGCCGTTATTATCAAGGAAGATATGCTATTACTAAAAAAGCATGTTTTAACTCTGGGGGATTTATCCCCATTATAAACAGCGTTAGTTATCTCTTCATAAGTTTTTAATCTATCGAAAACCCTCACTATTCCGTAAAAGGTAACTTTCAAAGCATTCATTCTTCATTTAATTTTCAAAACGTATTTATTACTTATCTTCTTAAAGTTATCTTACTTACATTACTAGCACAGCTTTTGTTTTTTACGTTTTACTTAATTTTTGATTGCTTATTATTTCGTTTTTTCTGTCATTATCTTACTTATTCTAACCTTTTATTCATCATTCTTGATGGCCTGTAATGTAACAGGGCTCCAGATCTTCTAATTTTAGAAATAAGACGCTCAATGTGACGTTTAATTTTCTAAGGTGTCTTTATTGGAATTGGAATTTACGAGCGTAATCACAACATGGAAAATCGAAAACTCAGTATACTTTCTATCATTCAGTATACTTTCTAGAATGCAGCTTCCTAAAACTACATTGTATTCACAGGACAAACAGTTTTTAGTATTTTTTGTTACCAAACGAATTAGTAGTGTGTCTTTGCAACAATAGATGGCGCTGCTGCCTGATGATTCAATTCTGGTTGCTATGGTAACGAACTTTCAACTCATAACTTATGTAATTTGTATTCTAGTCTTATTT